AAAATGTTACATAAATCCAAAATTTGATTTCGGGACTATTTCGAGTTTTTCAGAACGAACACCGAGATTTGAAATTTACAAAACGTCCAAAATCCTTGAGATTTTGAACTTCTAGATTGGGCTCCTTATTATATAGGGTGAGAGGATAAATTCGATTGATGGAAACATTTGTTTACATATAGAATATATATTTCTTTAATACCTATTGACGTACCACACTGATACTATGAAAACTTTTTTGGATCCGCTGACTTCACCGCTGGCTCTGCCTCTGTTTACAAGTATAGGTGGCCTATTTGGAAATCTCTATACACAAAGATGTGCAGCTAACACGCAATTTTCTTCAGTTAACTTTTTTTTATTTATTGATTAATTTTAATAACGTAAAACGTATTCAGTACCGATTTAAGTCATATTCCACAATTTTGACACTTGTCATTTTAAATATTTTAAGAATAAGTTACTGTACGTGTTTGTTATTACTGTTGGGACTGGTGATCTATTATTGTTTGTGGTTTGTTACTATCGTGATCGATTTCTTTTCTAAAAGATACTTTAAATTAGTTCTACAAAATTGCCCAATGTATTAAGTGACACAAAAAATGTATTTAAAGGGAATTGTGATGATGAAGAATTTAGGTTAATAAAAGATGGTTAAATATAAAACATAATCTTTAAATGAATTGTAGCTGTAATAGGCAGCCTGGCGAATTTAATAATTCACAAAACTTCGGTAGCTTTAACCAACGCCTTGCTTAATGCAACTATGTATCATTCATATTAATTAGTCCTCAAAGACTATTAAAAAACGGGCACCTACTGAGAACAGGCGCCATCGGCTTAGGCGCCACTAGATGGAACATTGACCTCTTAGAAATATTCTAGCCGTTTGGCACCGGGAAAAATTCACAAATAAACAGAATCTTTTGTTTCCGATGAACAAAAGTAGTCAGAATATGAATATAATTTGTTAAAATCAATGTTTAAAGTAATCAAAAATTGATTTAGGTATAGGTATTAGTAATATAATGTCTGACAATTTTATGTGGGGGTTATTTCATGTCGTAAAAAAACGTTTTTCAAAGAGTTTTAACACACTTGATACAATTATGGTTTCTAAGATTTTGCTAAATTTTATAATAAGAATTAATTTCGCTTAGCATGTTCCTGGTCCAAATTTTGATTAGCACACATTTTAATTGGCTTTTTTCAATGTCTGTTGACAAGTAGAGAAATAGAGAACGAAATGAACAAATAATAATTCAGTTTAATGTGCGTTTTAAAATATTACACAGGGTGTTTCGAATAAGAATCTACACAGAGCAAGGGCATGCAGGGGAACCCAAAATATGGTGATTTAACCCAATTTTCAGATTCGGAAATACTGAGACCTACATTTAATAATCTTACGAGTTGAAAAACTTTTTTTTTCAAATGGAATGACCCATATTAATTATCATGGGTGAATGCAAAATTGAATGCCCTTTCGACTGATATAAGGTTGTCCATACTTATCTCTAACAGTTCTCCAGAAAAATCAGGTTCTTTTCTAAGGTCCGAAAAGTAGCTACGTAACAACGTCAAGAAGGCCTTGCAATTGTATTAGTACAACGTCGATACATAGGAGGATTTTACAAAAGCACAGTACAGCACATCCTTATCGCATCTAATTACACCAAGAGTTACTAAAAGTAGACTTTCAGCGGAGACTAGAGTTTTGTCAGTAGGCACTTGAGATGTTAAACGGGTCATGTTCTCCGATGAGGCTACTTTTCATAAAAATGGTTTAATGTGTCATAATAATTGCCATTATTATGACACAGTAAATCCTCACCAATTCCGGACAACCCATAGCCAACGATGGTCTTTGAACACGTGGGGAGCAATTTTAAGAACCCATGTCATTGGACCATTCTTTTTTAACTAGCATCTAACTGGAGCAGTTTATTTAAACTTTTTAACAAACACTCTAGAAGATTTGTTAGGCGACATTCCTTTAGCTACACTTCGAAGAATGTGGATGCAACATGATGGTGCTCCACCTCACAATACCGCTGCGGTTCGTCAGTTTTTACACGAAACTTTCCCCGACAGATGGATTGGGCGCGGGGGACCAGTGAGTTGGCCTTCAAGGTGTCCAGATATGACAAGTTGCGACTTCTTTTTAGGGGGATTAAAGCAAAGTTTACGTTCCACCACCAACTACCGCGGAAGATATGTGGCAGCGCATTACAGTAACATTTCAAGAAATTACGCCAGACATGCTGTTGAACAGTCTTTTAAAAACCGAATTTGTTTGTGTATTAATCAAAATGAAGAACATTTCGAGCAATTGATGTAAATCAGCGGTCTAAGTATTCTTCTCCTTGTGTTCCGAGTTTCAGTTTGTTTCGTTTTGCGTTTTGTTTTAGTTGTTGTTAGTTATGCCAGTAAATATTGACACTGTCAGTCCCAGGCTGGATAAAATGTGAAAGAAAAGTGGTTTTGCTAGGCCTTCTTAACACTGTTACATAGTAGTCCAGGTGAATTACACATTGGCATGGCTGTAGCTTGACGTAGTTTAGATATTAGTAAAAATCGGTCGAAAATAATATAAACAATGAAAATATAAGGTTGTGCCAAGAAAAAAAGTTGTGGTATTTGCAGAAGTACTAAAAAATAGTTCTCGGAAAGACGCTTAACTTGAAAAAAGTCACATAAGTTCCGAGATATCAAGTGCCAAAGTCAACAACTATGCATAATGTGACAACAACAAAAATTGAATTTAGTAGGTTTTTTAAGAACTTTTCGTATGTGCTTTTATAAATATTATCGCACGTGTGCTCTTTATATGAAAATTCAATGAATCCGATTTTGATGATTTTTTTTAAATCGATATAGCAAAATTAGAGGAATTCAATTATCAAGATTTCATTGAAATATTATAAAGCCTTATCAGCCTATTACGACTGCTTAAAATTTCAGACATTTAATTGTTGTATATTCATGTAAATAATATCGATGGTAGATATTCTATTATTAATACGTATTAATTTTAATAACTACTTGTTAATAATGTTTAAAATCTTGAAATTTTTATGTAATAATGTAATTTATTTATTGTATACATATATCTAATACAGAAAAAAATGCAGATACAAATAATTATTATTTGATATTTATAAAACCTATCATCGCATTATTACAAAAAGTATTCCGCTTTTTTATAGCATAGTTGCCGATTTCGCTCTCAAAAATTTCTTCCTTTAGTAAACAATTAAAAATCACACTTTGCAATTTATTATAGAGGCTGTCATGCGGTGACGACCTATTAGAATATTTCGGAGACTACTTCGATTTGAATTTTAAAAATTTTTGACCTAGTGGTCTTGGAGGTTTTATTTAGAGTTTAAATAAAATAATGCCATTGTTGTAGTATTTCCGGTTATACCGGTAGTCGCCACCTATTTGCTTATTATAAATGGAACATCCTGTATATTTTTGTATATTTGAATTCTACGCATAATTTTAGGGGACTTTTATAAAGCTTCCCTATATGTATCTCTAATGGTCTAATGGTATTTCAATTTCATATTTATTGTCGAATTTGATTGACCGCCAAAACTTGGTTTTTCTAAAAAAATCTGTTGTAGAAATTTACTCCACATCTATACCTATCTTTTAATTTTTCTGTTTTTGACGGATTTTGTGATAAATAAAATTATCCATTTTCTTGCGAGGATGACTATGAAATTGCTGGCAAATTTAAAATCAAATTAACCAACCATAAGTCATACTTATTCAAATGGTGATATTATAAGTGAAAACACCAATGATGTAAAAAAGTGAAAAACTTTAATAATACGATGATTATGAAAATATAATAAACACGTTTTGTAAACATAAATGAATAATTATTTGTATTTATATTTTTTTCTATATTATATGAATACAATAATAAATTACATGTTAAATAAAAATGTCAAGATTTTATTTAAACATTATTACCACGTAATTATTAGAACTATAGTAACAGTGGATTATGTACCTATATCCTACCATCGATATTATTATTTACATGAATATACAGTATAACAACAAAATGTGGAAAATTTTTAGTCATAATAGACCGAAAAGGGCTTTATAATATTTTAATGAAACCTTGCTAACTGAATTCCTCTCATTTTTCTATATCAATTTAAAAAAAATCATCAAAATCGGAGCCATAGAAGCCGAGATATTGAACGCCGAAGCGCGCGCGCTCTTTGAACCCACGATTTCAATTTCTATAATTCATCCCCTCTTCTCGGCTTAACGATATTCATTGAATTTTCATATAAAAAGCACACGTGCGGTCATATTTATAAAAACACATACGGAAAGTTCTTTAAAAAACCTACCAAATTCAATTTTTGTTGTTGTTATAAAGTTTTGCAGAAAGCGCTTGTTGACTTTGACACTCTATGTCTATACTCTCTGTATATCTCGGAACTTATATGACCGATTTTAACGTTATTTTTTTCAAGTTAAGCGTCTTTCCGAGAACTATTTTTTAGTACTTTGGTATATATTTCAACCCGCAAAACCGCTTCACGAAAGTATTTGCTTATAAAGTCAAAATTATTCGAATTTTTAAAATCGCTCCAAAAATTATTAAAAAAAAGAAAATTAATATTATAACGATTCTATATGATAGTTAAAGAGTCCAAGTATGTGTAAAAAAATCAGCGCCAATTAAAATATAAAATAATATAAAACTTTAACCCCCAGCACTGACGCAAAAAAAATAACGACATTTCGCGCTGAAATTTAGTAACAAATTGTCTCATACCAAAACTATCAGACCGATTTTCGATTTTCATCACTTTCTCACGCTGTTTTGGCTATCTATTTTACAGTTGCAGAAATACAGAAGTATCCCAGCTGTAGAGAAAAACCAAATAGAATATTTCGTGTATTTATTATACCAGGAGGTACTGTACCTACAAAAATATGTAATTCTTGTTTTCCCTTATTTTCAGATCTCTCAATGCTGACGCATTTGATGGTTCCTCATCTGTTTCGTATCTCAGCTTGGCCGATAATACTTTGGAAGTTGTTCCGGAACAATTGTGGAAAAAAATGCCAAACATCCAAACTCTAGATTTAGGAAGGACTAAAATCAAGTACATTTCGGAGAGCAACTTTAAAGTAAGTTCAGTTCCAGAATATAATTGAAATATGTTACCAGTACACAGTCTATCATCCTACTTCTTTAAATTTCGCGTAATTAATAAATTAATATCATTCCTTATTATGAGCAAAACTGAATTACTATGGTGCATCTTATAACACTTTAAAACGGTCCAAAAATTATTTGGACAATCCTTGCGATTATGTAAATAATTTTTGCAGCAGGTTGATCAAGATAATTTTTTTCTGATACAGTCCATGTTAGCTGTGGTCTATTCGTGGTCCTTAATGCTTTTATAAAGTTTAATCTATATGACTCGCTTATTTTAATCTCTCTTTGATTATTATTATGTTCATCAGTTTGTGAAGCACAACAAATTTAAACTTTGGAAAATAGTTGCATGAAGTTTGCATGTAATGTAAAAAGGGTTGTATTGCTTCATATTTTTTTGTAGACTCCCGTGAAGTTAAAATGATTACTCCAAGAACACTATGCCTGTATTGTGGAAAAAAATTGTAGATACTTGCAGAAACTTTCAAAAATAAAAAAGGAAAAAGGTTAAAAGTTTGCCCCCATTGTCTAATTTGTTTTGAGTTATATGAATAAAAATGGATACTCCTTTTTAAATGTTTATTATTAATTTAACATGTATGTAGTTTATACATTGAACTGGTCAACTATATGTAATAAACTAATTGTTATTACAATCATGAGAGAAACAAGAAAAGTTAAAGTAAATACAGCTAGGCTGACGACAACAGTGGCAGCCACTGTAACAATAACACTCAAAATAATAAACGAAATTATAATTGAAATGATAACAGGTGAGTTGACTAACCTTATTTCCATTTTTTGGAGGAATATTATAGCAGCTTTTAAAACCACTGGTAAAATTTATTTTCCTGAAGGATTTATAATTATCGATGACAGTGACACTTGGATATATTTATTCCATTTACATAAATGTCAACGTCATAAGTAAAATACGAAATGTAGACATCGAGCTAGGATATTTTGAAATATTTTCTTCCATTTTACATTTTCTAATTTTACTACCGAATTTATTTAAAAGATTATAAAATCTAATAAAAATGAGAATTCAAAAATTTCAAAAAGTTGTCAAAATAAAAAAGTAGTTGTTAAATGAGATTTATATTTAGGCCAATCAATAGAGGTTTTGTTTGTGACAAAAATACTAGTAGCAAACGGACTGTGCCGTCATATAAAAGACAGTCTGTAGATGTATGCTTCTATGTTTCCTGCTCCAATTAGTCCAATTTACCATTAATTTATTTTATCTGCTCCCACTATAGCAGATAATGTTTGTTGCATTGCATTGCATAATGCATTGTTTTTAAAGAGGTAAGTGGATTTTACCGTAGAAGTGGAAGTTGCTATGGACAACGGGAGGTAAGTGGGGTAACTTACCTCCCTAGGGAAAAAAGCAATTTCGAGTTATAAATGTATATACAGTGCAACCTCTTTAATCCGAACACCACATTGCCAGGCATTGTTCGTATTATCGAATCGTTCGGATTATCGAACATACTATAAAGATTTGTACATTATGTATATTACGTTAAGTACATACAAATTTCATTATAAATAAATCATATAAAACACATAAAACTTATATAAGGTAAAACATAAACATGTAGTTACATATACATATATGTATTATTTTACGCTTTTCGTATTTTTTATTTGTCTTACTTTCAAAAAAACTCCAAAATTGTTACACAAAACACGACACGCAACAGGTTCTTCGCTATCGGCAAACAAACTGACAACCGACTACGCGCGTACGCGCGAAGCAATCTAGTCTATTCTTGCCATCGTTCAGATTTGGCCGTTCGGATTAGCGTGTGATCGGATTAACGTGTGTTCGGATTAAAGAGACTGTATTTTATGAACAAATAAATAGAAATATTTGATGAACATTACATTTTTTTAATTATTCTGCATAAATACCGCGTGATTCAGTTTGACATTCGCGGCCTCGTATCTCTTTTGTTTTATCAGATAGCTATAACAAACCCTATATATTTTTAAATCGCCGCTCAAAGTCTATCAAATGACATTATTAGATCGTCTCCATGGTAACATATGTTAAAATTGCTATAGTCAACTGTTTTTGTTCAAATGGCACACTATATATTTTTTTATCAATTCTAGAAGATATTTTTTTTATATTCAGTTGTATAAAGAAGTCTTTAGTTTCATTAGAAATATTGCTAGAAAAACCGCAAAAAAGATGAACCCTACTTTCAGTAGCTTTATTCTGAAAAATGATAGCCAGCTGCGGAAACAACTGAATTTTGACGTTTCTAAATAATGGCTTTTCAAAATAATTGACGTTTTGTACCTACCTATTCTATCTATAACTAATTATTATTACTATAACATGAACTCTATATGATTTTAATTTATGGAGAGTGCTGAAATAACGCTAAAGCTGCCAGACGCTTTATACCAACATCGTTTTCCGCAGAGACAACTTCCATCAGATAAAATTTTCGGAAAGTTAGCCAGGAATTTGGTAGCAGATGATTTTCAAAAGAAAAGAAGAGTTTTTAAACCTAGAAGGGTAAGAGATGAAGAACATTCGATAAAGATGTTAAATAGTCTGCTATAGATCTCCGGATCTCATTCCTATAGATTTCTTTCTTTGGCCTTACCTAAAAGAAAAAGTTTACTCTTCGACTTTAAATGATATTGATGACCTTAAAAACAGAATAAGAGTAGAATTTCGGAGATTAAATGAAGAAACACTAGAATGTGTTTGTAGAGAGGGAGTGATAAACAGAGCTATTCTGTGTTTGGAAGCAAATGGAGATCATTTTGAACATTTGAAATAAGCATTGTTTTAAATTGTTATCGTATTAAAAATAAGATATGCTACTTTAAAAAACATGGTAACTTGTTTTCGCAGCTGGCTATCATTTCAGCTACGAAAACTAGGGTGCATCTTTTTTGCTGTTTTTCTAACAATATTTCTAATGAAACTATAGACTTCCTTACATAGTTGAACGCAGAAAAAAAATATCTTCCAGAATTGATAAAAAAATATATAGTGTGCCATTTGAACAAAAACAGTTGACTATAGCAATTTTGACATATGTTACCATGGAAACGATCTAATAATGTCATTTGATAGAGTGTGAGCGGCGATTTAAAAATATATAGGGTTTGTTATAACTATTTATTAAAATAAAAGAGATACAGGGCCGCGAATACCAAACTGAATCACCCAGTATTTATAGTAATTGTACAGTTATTACATTTAGTAACATTTATAATATCTGGATAATTACTCCCCTCGCGTTTACTGATCGTCACATTTTTATCAAAACGATTTGACCGCTCCATTTCAGTCACCGGAGGCTCAATATTATCTGACTGACATTAAAACAGCATGATGCGACTTACTACTAGAACCTGGAGTTGAAGTGTCATTGTAAAGAATCCCGTTGGCTATTTCATTTTTATTACTTAAACTGTTAGCAACATAACTTTCAGCAATTGTGGCTGATTTCCACCCACCACGTCTCTTGATTGTTAATACATCAACTCCTGTATTAGCCAGTAAGGTTGCCGATGTTCTTCTGAATGAATGGCCTGTATAAGTTTCAGGATATTCTTGTTTCGAAAACTGTGGAATCTTATTGGGAATCATATAAAGGGTATTCTTGCCGACTAATTGGTTGTAACATCTACCTTCTTAATAGCGCATAGAAAAGTGTGAATATTCAGTTTTAATTTCCAATCTAATCTTGATATTTTTCTTGAGAATTTCTAGTTGAGAAACAGAACTCAGACGAGAAGTAATTGTAAACGTACGTGACATACCATTTTTAGAATCTGGAATTGTAACTACAACAATGTCATTGACATTTTTGAAATTGACATTGTCCAAAGTAAGTTTGCATAACTCATCAGAAAGGCATGCTCCTGCAATGCCTAAGACCGTTACAGAGGCGGATTGGCTATGCGGGAACTCGGGAGGTTTCCCGATGGGCCGCGGTCATTTTGGGCCGGTCCGCGCTGTAGAAGGATGAAATATATTTTTGTAATAAAAATTTTAAAAAAAATTGAAAAAAATATGAAAAAAAAATTGAAAAAAGATTTGAAAAACAAAAATTGGAAAAAATTTTGAGCAATAAATTTGAAAAAAATCAAGGAAATAAATTTGGAAAGAAATGAAAAAAAAAAGTATATATTAACCTAGGGCAATAAAATAAGAAATGTCGACTTCACCTTGTTCGACAATTACATCTGATCTGAGGCTTGAAAGCTTCAATTTTTAACAAACTGTGTGAGAAATTGGTCATATATGAACCAGAAATAACTCCTCAAAAACTAAGAGATGAATTAACAAGTTTAGCACACCAGTGGAAAAAACTTGTACAAACTCCATTGGACGAGTATGAAACACGTCAATGTGATGAAAGTGAAAGTGAAGAAATAGACTAGGCGGTATCTGTTTTGGTTTGGATGAATTGTATATCCACGGAGATTTTTGGCTTTTTGGCTTTCAAATATCACTAAAAATGAACATTTTTCTATGCGCATAAAAAAA